CAATTACACATGTTTCATTGTGAGCTTTTGCACAGATACAGATACATGCATCTGAATGTTATTCAATAAAAATAATGTATCTACAAGAAATAAACCTTTCAAATTTCTTTATTTGATTTCTTTATGTTTTTTCATTGTTTCTTCATCCTTTGTGGAGTGTAAAATGCATGGTTTTGTAATAGACAGAGTTTATCACAGTGATATGATTGGTTCCTGGAGCAAGTAGCCCCGCCCTTGAGTCTGGAGGTGGTTGGTGTACGTCACGTTGGTACGTGCTGTGGGAGTGGAGTTTTGAGTTAGTAAAAAGTTTTCTAAGGTTGCAACATACATAAAATTTACCAAGATATTACATTGGCGACGAGGACGACTGAGCTGCAGAAAGCGGACCCGGCGTCGCGGTATTGGAATCTGTGAAACATGGCATTAATTGGACGAGTGGATGAGTTCAACGAGTCGCGGGAGGATTTCGCATCCTACCTGGAAAGGTTTGAACTGTCGATGTTGGCAAACGACATTAGGGATGAGAAAAAGGTCAGTGTCTTTCTGGCAACTATTGGTCCGGAGGTTTATGGACTTTTGAAGAACTTAGTCACGCCACACAGGCCAGCGGCGATGACGTACAAACAGTTAGCGGAGACATTGCTTTCTCATTACCAGCCGAAGCCCTTAGTAGTGGCGGAGAGATACCGCTTTCAGAAACGCAATCAAAAGGAATCAGAGTCAGTGTCTGATTATATAGTGGCGTTACGCCAATTGTCAAAGCACTGTGAGTATGGCGATCACTTAGATGAAGCTTTGAGAGATCGGTTAGTTAGTGGGCTGATCTCCGAGTCTATTCAACGCAAATTGCTGACAGAAAAAGACCTCACGTTTGCAAGGGCATGCGAGTTGGCGCAGTCCATAGAATTGGCGTCGAAGAATTCTCTGGAAATCTTGGGAAAAGCACAAAATGCATCTGTGAATCAAGTCTATAGAATAAAAGGGGCAAACAAAGAAAAAAAGCAATTTGGAAACGGAAATGGGAATTCAACTCAGAAGAATGACTGGAAAAGGGTTAATGAACATAAATGTTACCGCTGTGGGGGAAGACATTCGCCACGGGAGTGCAAATTTTAAAATGAGAAATGTCATGCCTGCTCAAAGACAGGTCACATTGCAAGAGCCTGTAGAAACAAAAACCGAACAGCTAAAACCCAGTTTGTGGAAACGGAGGATCAGATATTTGTTTACGGTGTATACTGCTTCCAGTGGGGACAGGGGCATCACCGTCAATGTGAAGTTGGATAATGAAGACATTAGCATGCAGTTAGATACGGGGGCAGCAGTGTCCTTGGCGTCTGAAGTTTTGTACCGGAGAAAATTTCCACACCTGCCCATAAAAGAGACTAACATTAAACTAAAGGCTTACTCTGGAGAAAACATTCCATTGCTTGGATACGTTTTGGCACCAGTGGAATATGGTGACCAGAAAGCAAGGTTACCTCTGGTGATAGTCAAAGGCGATAGACCAGCCCTGATGGGAAGAAACTGGCTTGAAAGCTTTAAACTTGATTGGAGGAGCATTTTTACAGTTGATAATGAAGCAAATCAACGCGATCCAGAGTTACAAGTGGTGCTTTTCCGAGAATGCAGGTGCTATAGAGGATTTTGAAGCAACAATTAGGATGCAACCAAGTGCACAGCCAGTATTTTCTAAGGCTCGCCCCGTGCCCTATTCTCTGAAAGAGGCTGTGGAGAAGGAATTGGAACGTTTGGAGAGAGATGGAATAGTTTCAAAAGTGGAGCGAAGTGAATGGGCCGCTCCAATAGTGGTGGTTCCAAAGGCTAATAAGTTAATTCGTATTTGTGGAGATTATAAGATCACAGTAAACAGTCAGCTGGAAGAAGAGACGTACCCTCTGCCCAATACTGAGGATTTATTTGCAACCTTAGCTGGAGGAAAATGGTTTTCAAAATTGGACCTTTCTCATGCCTACCAGCAACTCAAATTAGACAAAAACTCTGAAAAGCATTTAACCATAAATACACACAGAGGACTGTATTGCTATCATCGACTCAGCTATGGCGTTGCCAGCGCACCATCAATATTCCAGTCAGTGATGGACCGGATTCTCCAGGGTCAGGAAGGGGTGACATGTTTTTGGATGATACTCTGATAACTGCTAGCACAAAAGATGAACACTTAAAAAGACTGAGTGCAGTCTTGGACCGTCTGGAACGCTATGGCGTGAGAGTGAAACTGGCAAAGTGTCAATTCTTGCAGAAAAGCGTAGAGTATTTGGGGCATCGGGTAGATCAAGATGGCCTGCATCCCACTCAGAAAAAGGTGGAAGCAATAGTAAATGGTCCAAGACCCTCAAATGTCACAGAGTTACGGTGATATTTAGGCTTGTTGAATTATTATGGCCGTTTCCTGAAGAATTTATCCAGCATGCTGCAGCCATTACATGCACTGTTGAGAAAAGAGGAGAAGTGGAACTGGACACCAGCCTGTGAAAAAGCTTTCAAGGAGGGAAAAGAGATGCTCTTGAACAGCACAATCCTGGTGCATTATGATACAAAGAAGCCTTTGAGGTTGGCCTGTGACGCATCCCCTTATGGGGTGGGGGCAGTCATTTCCCATGTCATGAGCCATGGAGAGGAGCGTCCGATTGCTTTTGCTTCATGCACTCTAACAGAGGCAGAAAAGAAGTATGCCCAAATAGAAAAAGAGGCGTTGGCCATCATTTATGGAGTGCGAAAGTTCCATAAGTATCTGTACGGACGTAAATTTACTTTAATAACCGATCACAAGCCCTTGCTGGCGATACTAGGGCCAAAATCAGCGG